ATATTATCAATGTTGAAAACAGTTTTGGTTGCTTGATATTGTTGTGATAACACTTCCATTGAAAAGTGTGGTGTAAGTACAATAAAATAAAAATTACATAGTTTTATTCATCAAGGATGCATTAAATTGATCAAAAGTGACAGTAAAGAAATGTATAATGCTACTATAGATTTATTTCAGATAAATGCCAGTACATTTTTAATAACCATTATTAATATTTGAGCACCAATAATAATTGAACACCAAATCAGCATATTACAATATAATATTTCACTGTATTACTAGTTTATGTATGTGTGTGTATATTTACAGTTTTATTTTGTCATTAAAAGACACAGATATACCCCCAATTGTTAGGTTCACTTTTTTGTTGTTTTACATTTAAATCTTACCATTTTTTTGTGCATTTTGAGAATTTTTGTCATGCTGGAAGGAGAAAAGATTCAGGAAATCATGGTGAGAAAGAGGTTGAGACAGATCACTAGTTACCCTGATCATTACCCTTCTGAACAAAAACAAACAAACAAAACATTTTAAACTAGCCCAAGCGTTTTTTCTGGTCTTAGTTGGTTTCTTTTTGAGAGTTTTGGACAGTTTCAGATGGTCAGGCTGAGAAACCGAAATCAGCTGAGCTTAGGCTGGTTTAAACAGTTTTTTTTTTTTAAGGAGAGAATTTCACAAGTATATTCAGGCATACATGCGAGGAGATTGGACAACCTAATGTTCCACGAAGGAGACGTGCAGGAAGTTCCTGTCCAGCCGCCCTCTATCTAAACACAGCATCTCAGGAAGGCTGGAAACTAAACGACTGCATTGGTTTCTGTTATTAGCACCCCACAGTAATGAGAGTCAGTGAGTTTCCACTGACACAGTGACCCATACCCCAAGGCCTTAAAGAAACCTAACGCCTGTTTCCGCACCGTTAGAAATGTGGAAAACAACCACATATTCTGATATGCTTCATCACACAGACTTCCTTTGACAAAACACACTGATCAGGGATTGTCAGTGTTGCTTTCTGGGAAACACATTTGTTGCATTCGTGTTTCTCATTGTGTGGTTAACCTTTGTCTCTCAAACCTAATCTCAACATCATTATGTCTCATGAGGCTAGTGTTCCTGTGCGCGCTATGTCTTGTCAGATATCCAGTGAGAGGTTACAGCAGTATGCATTAGTAATACACTGTGATGTCTAGCAGCCTGCCGTCCAATCCCAGCATCCATCTGGCATATTCATCCAGACACGGCCAGCGCACGGGGCTCAAGCAGCTGTCAGAAGTAATCTGCCCTAAATCACAGCTCAATCCCATAATAGTTATTGTATGGCTGTGGGCAGGGTCTTAAACAGAGACTAGAGTATTGTTCAAAATGTGGGTTTTGTTTTTCAAGCACAGGGGCTCCGCAGTAAAGGCTTTTTCTGCTTGTGATTTTTACTTGCCCTGCCAGCATTTCCACAAATACGATACATATGTCTTAAATTTTATGTGTAAATATATTTTCCAGTTTCTGTTGTCATTTTTGTTTTGTTTTGTACTGCAACAAAAGCAAACTTCAGATAATTTCACATATGCTTAGAATTTCAGCCTATTCTTTTTAAAGCTTTTACTTTGCTTTTACTTTTGTTTTGTTTTGGCTTTTTATTTATTTATTTATTTTTCTGTTTTTGTTTTGTATTTTTGCTTTGTTTTTACCACAAAAGCTAACTTTTGCTGGAAAACAGTGATCATTTCAGATATGCTTATTTTCAGCCCATTCTTTAAACATTTTTTTTTGTTGTTTTGTTTTGTTTTGTTTACAAGTTTTTACTCAAACATTGACCATTTCTTTACCACAAAAGCTAACTTTTGCTGGAAAACAGTGATCATTTCAGATATGCTTATTTTCAGCCCATTCTTTAAACATTTTTTTTTTGTTGTTTTGTTTTGTTTACAAGTTTTTACTCAAACATTGACCATTTCAGATTTGCTTATAATTTATATTTTATTATCAGTTGCTCCATTCATGTGTGTCATTCATGATTTCCCATTCGTGTGGATTGCGGGGTTCACAAACTTACCCCCTGACTTGGACTAAGTCTTGTTGTTTTTTTGAACGGATTGCTGTGAGTCTTGGAAGGTATTTACACTTTAGTCTTTTTATAATCAGATCTATCCGAGCCATTCAGTCAGTAAACATAGATTCCTTGTATGTTAGCCAGCTGGATAATGTTAACTTGATGACATATTTATATTAATATAACTTTTTGTGACAAACTAAATAATTTTGTTGTATATTTTTCTGATTTTTCAACTGCATAAGATGCATCCTGAGATACTTTGGAATTGCTTTTTCTTCACTATTCTGGTCTAATAAATAAACAAACAAACAAACAAACAAACAAATTCATGAATAAATAAATAACCAACCAACCAAATACATAAATGAAATTTGAAATAAAATATTAGTAGACAAACAATTAAAAAAGTAAAATATTCATAAATACATTCTCATACACACACAAAACAAAACAAAAATTCATGAATAAATAACCAACCAACCAAATACATAAATGAAATTTGAAATAAAATATTAGTAAACAAACAATTTAAAAAGTAAAATATTCCTACATAAATTCTTACATGGTGTATGTACAGTATTTGTAATGTCTGTATTGCTGTTAAGACACAAAGATGTCACACAAATGTGTAACTCCCTCATTCAGTAGGATACATAGCATTATGCATTAGATCAGTGGTTCTCAACAGGTTTGGCCATGGGACCCACATTTTCACCCACTATGTATGTATATAAATATCTCTCTCATTTGTTAAAAAAAAAAAAGCACATTTATTTTTTTGGGTTATGGAAACAACAGTTACCATGGAGAATACACAAAACTAACATGAACTGTTAATGAAACGTGGAAACTGCTCCTGAACAGAATGAATATTATACCTTCATGCAAATCCTTCCCAGCTAACACACAAAGTACCAGACATTTTTTTTCACATTTTATGTTGCTGCCTTATGTTAAACTGGTTTAAATTTCCTTTTTTCCCACATCATTCTTCACTCCATACACCAAAATGGTAAAGCAAAAAACTGGTTTTTAACATCTTTAAAAATAAAAAACTTAAATGATTCCATTGCATAAGTACTCATACCCTTATCTGGGACAGTTGAAATTTAGTTCAGGAGCATTCATATTGCTTATAGATGTTACTACACTTCAAGTGAAGTTAACCTGTGGCAAATTCAATTGAATGGATATGATTTGAAAAGGCACACACGTCTTAATTAAAGGTCTAACAGCTGATAATGCATATCAGAGCAAAAACCAAGCCCTGAGGTCAAAAGAACTGCCTGTAGAGCTCAGAAACAGGTTTTGTGTCAAGCCACACATCTGTGGAAGAGTTCAGAAAAAAATTCTGCTTCATTGAAGGGTCACAGAAGCATGTAGTCTCTGTTACCCTTAATGGAAGAAGTCTGAAACAACCAGGACTCTTCCTTGAGCTGGCCTCCTGGCCAAACAGAGCAACTGATGGAAAAGGGTCTTGGTTAGAGTGGTGACCAAGAACCTGATGGTCACTCTAGTTGAGCTCCATGATCATATATGCAGATGGGAGAAATCTAGAGAAGGACAAATATCACTGCAACACTCCACCGATCTGGGCTTTATGG